TCCACATGAAAGCATATGCATCCAAATTATTTTTAAGAATCAAAGTTTATATACCATTTATGTTTGTGAGTTTTGAAGCAAGACAGGCAGTTACATATGTAGGAGAACTTAAGAGTCTTTTATGATAATGAGTATGTATGACCTTGGAATTAATGATTACTTTCCATGGAGATAACACCAAGATTTTAAAGTCTAAATGTCCCAAGGAGACTTTTCATAAATCTGTTTTATAAGATGCAAAGCACAGCGTATCCCCTTTCATTGGCTTGGACTTACTTGCGCAGTACCTGAAGATCCAGTGACTTGAAAACTTCCCCGTCTTTGTCTTTGTCTTCTTGCAGTGGCCTTTCCTGAAACCTGCTAATGAGAGGCTTGAAGTTTGTGTATCAGAAACAGTTTATTTTAATCACAGCTAATCTGAAAAGATAATATTTCAGCTTCTACATGAAATAACATTATATTTTCGTCAGCGCCTGTTTCCACAGTTCATTTCCTCTTGCCATAGCCAGAAAAGCCTTAGTTGTTCACATTAGGATTCTCAGAGCCCAGCAATTCTAACAGGGTTGCCTCCAGCCCAGCATCATCATCACTACCTGGGGTCTTAGGAGTGCCTGCAGGAGCTTCGGATGCGTGCCAAATTAGATAAGAACGTTTACAGATGATCCTGACATTGAAATGTTTCCCATCTTCACATATTCTTAGAAGCTAAAATGAGGTTGAGATATACATTAAGAAATGGTTTTATGTTAATATTTTGGTTTCTTACTGTTCCAAAACTATATTGTATTGAAAGACACCTACCTCTCCAAGAAATCCCACTGTACCTTCTGCCTTGCTCACTTTGTTCTCTAAGACTCTTTCCTGGTCTGATGATCTGGGATGAATATAAAACATCATCCCATGCCTGGATATCTGTGCATGAAGCTGTCCTTTGGAAATGCTACATAAGTTCTAAGACTTGTGCAATTTAAGAAGCACTTTCTAGAACCATGCCTAATCCCAGAGAAAACCAAATTAGCTCTTACCACAAAGTTGCATGTAGTCACGCTCTTGAAAGCATGAATGCTTGTTGAAGCTGAGGAAGAATTGCCTGCATTTGACGCCATTGTTAGTCATCGCCATGAAATTCCTTGGAAAGATCTCATTGGGACTGATAACTGTAAAACCAGAGTAGCAGAAAGCAGAGAGGCATTCGTGCCTGTCCATAGTAGAACATGTGCATCCCAGATCCCATTTTAATAACGGAAGATAAATTGAAAGTGATCACCAGAACTCATTCTAAGCCTTGATTGTTTTCTAGTTTTTCTTAAGCAGCATGTGTTAGGTTAGTACCAAAATAACAAACATAGCTTCCAAAGGCCCTGAGAGGCTTCGGCATCAGCACAAGCAGTCCTGGTTAGAGTCCAGTGTGCCAAAGCTGAGGCACAATGGTTGCTACATGGGTTAAATGATCCTTCTCTGTACTTACATCACTGTGCTATTTTCATGTTGTTGGACTAAGTCCTGGATATAGGTTTGATCTCATTTGAGATCCAAGAAGGACTACTTTCTAAATATTACTCGTGTGTGTGCGTGTGTGTGTGTGTGTGTGTGTGTGTGTGTGTGTCCATCTTATATTGCTGTAAAAAAGAACCTGAGACAGGGTCCATTCTAGGAAAAGAGGTTTATTTATATCTCACAGTTTTTAAGACTGAGAGTCCAAATGCTATGGTGGCCTGGTAAGGGCCCCTTTATTTGTCACATAGTGGATGGGGTTATGATGGGAAACTTGCTAGAAGGGTAGATCACACAGTAAGGCAGAAAGGGACCCAGGGGTTAGTCTCCCTCTCAATTCTAATTCTTGAGAATTAATTCAGGGTCCCTCCCACAGGAACTACCTTAATTCCTTCCGAGGACAGCCCCTTCCATGACCTAGTCAACTCCTGCTAGGCTCCACCTCTGCTAGGTCCCTCTGCTCTCAGCCTTGCCACACGAGGGACCAAGCTTTGAACTCAGGATCATGCGGTAACAAAGCACAGACCAGACTGGCAGTGTGTGTTCGTGTGTTTAATTGGAGCGAGGCTCATTGTCTTCATTGATAGTATTCCAACGACATTTACCAACAGCACTGCAGATGAAAAAGTCAGTTTCCAGAGTGTAAATATTTCTACTATGACCAGTTTCAGACCATCAGTGGGACTTCATTGCGAGGACAGTTTGGAAAATATAGACACAGTTGGCATTCTCAAATTGGGGCATGCCAATTCTAGCTTATCCATTGGAATGTAGAGTATGTGGAAGAGAAAATGGTTTCAAAAAGTAGAAGACATAAATTCATAATATTGTGGTTGACAGCAGAAGCCAATTCCAAAATGGTATTACATTTTCTTTGGTCTATGTGATGTTCTGATGTTGTTAGCATTTTGTACTTAAAAGGTGGTGTTTTGCTCTCATTTTCTGGAGCATCATTTTAATGGCTTCATAGTATTCCAACAACTTAATGTATATGGTCATTCAGTTGTCCTAATTGTGGGCATTAAGAACATTTTCTAATTTTTGATATTGCTATAAATCATGCTGTGTGTCATTTGAAAAATGCATACATATTTCTTTAGGTAGAAATTATCCTTCGTATTTCTTGCTCTTAAAGGAGATTATAGAATCAAATTATATTAATTATGGATCATGGAAGCCTATTCCCTGATGCCATCTAGAATGTTTATACCAAGGTATTCACCTATCAACAGTATTTAAGAATGCCTATTCCACCAGGCACAATGGCACACGCCTTTAATCCCAGCACTCTGGAGGCAGAGACAGATGGATCTCTGTGAGATTAAGGCCAGTCTGGTCTACATAGCAAGTTTCAGGTCAGCTGGGACTACAGAGAGACCCTGTCTCAAAAGAGAGAGAGGGGGACAGAGAGAGAGAGAGAGAGAGAGAGAGAGAGAGAGCCAGCCAGAGCCTATCCCTGTAACTTCACTACTTCTAATTCTTCTGTAAAAATTTCAGTAATTTGATAAATCAGTTTTAATGTACATTACCATTTTCTTTAAAATTCTATATTTGCAGTTGGGTATGGTAGCACACGCCTTTAGTCCCAGCACTTGGGAGACAGAGGCAGGTGGATCTTTGTGAGTGTGAGGCCAGTCTGGCCTACATAGTGAGTTCCAGGCCAGCTGGGGCTACAGGGAACCCCGCCACAAAAAAAAAAAAAAAAAAAAAAAAAAAAAAGGCTATATTTGCATCTATATTTGCATCATAACCCCTCCTCCCCAACTTCTTCTGTGGCCCTCCCACCATCCCCTTTTGAATTCATGACCTCTTCTATAATTTTTGTTACATATGCATTGACATTTTTATTTCTTCTTTTTAACTTGCTCACTAGATGAAAAAGCTCCATTTTTGTAGCAAGTGTCCATGCCAAGACTTTGTACATGCTTTCCTCCCTGTTCCTAGACCCAGGCTCACTCTGTCCCAGCCTTACTGCTCCATGCAGCCATATAGTAGAGCAGGCAGCCTCTCTCCCCAGCTCAGTTCCACAGGCCTGGCTTCTGGCTTCACCTCTCAGGCTTGTATCCAGTGCCATTCTCAAGATGTGTTCTGGCATCACCATCCCAAACATCCCAGCACACACCTGCCTCAATGTCTCCACCCTTTCTACGTCACTTTTCTCTATAGCATTTAGCATTGTCTGGTGTTACATGTTTTTTATTTGTTCATCACCATCCCCACAAAGAGTCTTAAGTCCATAAATACAGCAAATGCTCCTAGTGTCTGGAGGAGCACGAGGTATTAGTTAATGGAGTCAGAATAATCTGGCCCTTATAGCTAAAGGTTTAGTGTCATCTTTATAAAGTTAATTTATATGTTCTCTTTAAATACTGAAAATAACTGTTTGCAGTATTTCTAACAACACATTTTTAGCTTAAGTATTATTTTAACACAAGTAAGCATAATATTTTTATGCTGCTAAAATATATTATAATTTTCCATTCAAGCTATACTTAAAAAATTTGTAACTGTAAATAAATCAGGGGGCTCTTGGATGGCTCAGTCAGCAAAGTGACTGCTTTACAAGTATGGAGATTGATTCCCCACTACCCACCAAAAAGCCAAGCATGATGGTGTACACTGAGGAGGCATATGAGGAGAAACAGGAGGCCATTTGCCAGCCAGTCCATCCTCATTGTTGAACTCCAAGCCATGAGAGATCCTGTCTTAAAGGAAAGGAGGTGGATGGTGTTCCTAAGAATGACACCAAAGTTGTCCTCTGCTGTCTACGCACACACACACACACACACGTATATATGTGTTATAGGAGGAGAAACAGGAGGATCTCTGGAGGCCATTTGCCAGCCAGTCCATCCTCATTGTTGAACTCCAAGCCATGAGGACACACATACCAAAATAAAATAAATCAGGTAAATTTTCACTTGTACTATATTTTAAGCCTTTTGGGTTTATTTTTACATGTGTCTTTTTATAACTTAATATTGGAGAATTTTTGTTTTTGTTGTAAGTGATTTCTTTTTATCATTCTCTATTTAAAATTTACATTGTACATTTCCCTCTCATGAAATTTGTTAAAGTCCAATCTCAGTAGAGATTCTTAATTTTCTCCTTGATGTCTTTGTGCTAGTATCACTGTACGCAAAAGTACTTCCCAATATGGAATAAATCTGTGTGCGTTTGTTTCTGTTATCACTACAAGTTCAGATAAGATACCGAGCAATGGAATGTATGAATGGAAATGTAATAGGAAGTTGGGTTCCCAGAAGTAGAGATATTAAGGTCTAAAGTCAAACCCACCCGTTGCCATGTGTTTCCTGAAGCACTGCCAGGTGTTCTAGGACTGGAGAACTGACCCTTCTGTTGATTTTAAGTTCGTGCCTACTTCACAGTGACTGCTTGATAGATATTTAGGGGGTAAATTGCACTGAACCCTGGGGCACAAGGCTTTTCCAGACAGGCATTCGGAGGACCAGCTTTTCCATCTCTTTTCTGTTTTCTCCTTTTAGCTGCGGTCTAGCACTGAGCTTCATCCAGATCTCCTCACAGACTGCCTCACTGTGCAGCCCCTGCAGCCAGCCTCTTCCCCTAGAGAGGCTACAGCCGATGGCACTGTGGGACGCTCCCCAGGACCAGGGCCTGACCTCTATCCAGGTAAGAACATACAGGAATGTTCACATGATAAAAACCCTCCCATGGTCATCTGTGCTTTGCTGTATCCGTGGGCTGCAATTGATCTCCTCCCGTATGATTCCTGAGCTGGGTATGGCAAAGCAGACCTTTTTTTGTCTCATAAAGAAACAAGGTAAAATAATGCATTAGCTCTTTTAGTTCTGGATTTCTGCCAGAAGTTCAGTGCACCCAATCCTCCCAGATCTCTTATACTCAGTGATTTAGACTCACAGGAAATGTTTGTCCCTTAAGCAGGCAGCAGGCTGCATGTGGATTCTTAATGGAAGAGCCATTGTCATCGTTGCGTTTTAAATGGCAGCCCCAGGTCTCTACTGAAATTTCACATCAGTAAATCAACTTATAAGAATATTCCTTAATGTCCCCCAGCCCTGGGGGGAGGGGGAAAGTGGGGGCGCTCCAGATCTCCTTCCTTCACCTGGATTTGAATAAAAAGTGACCCTATATTCAGAAAATTGCTGCAAAAAATAAGAAGAGACTAATATACAACAAGGAAATTAGTTGTTTTTCTTTGACTTTCTTAGCCTACATTTTTTGATGCATTTTCCTCATTATAGTAGTGGTGTATTTGAGCAAACGTAATTAGTTATTACTTTACATACAGAAAGCTCTCATTCTAAGCTGTATGAAAACAAATCTCACTAGCGCTGCATTCCAGACAACAGAAATTTTCCACTTTCAATGACTTGCAAATCCCGCTCACATCTGCATCGGGTTCCATAGCCAGGTTGGCAGCAGGCTATTTTTTTTTCCTTTTGAAAAGTACTAATAAGCCATAGAGAATGAGGAATTTACTGATGCTTGACAGTTCTCAGATGAGAACTGCATTTGGCTCCAAATGCAGAGGAAAAGGGCAGCAAGCAGTCACTTGAACAGCATCAGTCATCAAGACATCCTTAATCACGGTGGTCCAGTGTCAAGGGACCTTTGGCAGTTGCTTGGGTACTTACTCCTTGAAACAGTGTACCCTCTACTTCTTGAGGTCCAGGGAGCTGGATTAAAGCTTATTTGAAGGGGTGACCAAATCTTGAAGAGATACATAGACATATTATCATATGTGTACTATACAATGCTGCCAACATGTACATAAATATTTTGTACTGGCTCTATACATGAAGGGGCATGGCTAGGTTTTGTTTATACATATGTTTTTGCCTTGCAAAATTGTTGACATTTGAACATTCTAACACATTAAATTAATTAACAATCAGGCTAAACAGCCTGTAAAGCATTCCTCTACTTCTTCAGTCAATGCATATATCTTGCTAAAGACCTGGAACCCAACAGTTAAGATCAAAGCTAATCAGAGGTGACTGTGAAAACGAACTTCCAATAGTAATCATTTACAGTGATGGGCCAGTCTTGTCCCACCTCTTGGAAATGGGTTTGGGAACATCTGCCACTGTGGAAAAATCTTTGTGCCTTTGATGTATATGGCATATAGCACATGGTTCGTTTTAGAACTCTTACATTTGACTTGGTTTGCATTTTTCTATTAAAGTTTCAGAATTTTAAACTTTTTAAGGTTTAGTTTTAGTTTGAAATGGTTTTATCATTCCAAATAGACTTCCACTTTTTATTCATGATGCTTTTTGATATCTGGTTCTCAAAAAGATCTTGAGCTCTTGTCTTTGAACCTCCAGCTGTAGCAGATGAGCTGTAATGCCAGGCAAGGAAGCAAGAGTTGCCTTAGCCGTCAGTGTAACATCTCCCAGGCGACAGGCACTTTCCCAGAACATTTGAAACAGGCAGGTGGCCATTCTGCCAGGCTTTTCTCCTGGAACGTTACCTCTCTGGGTAGCTTGTGCTGTGAAAGTTACTCTCCTTATTTTATGTCTGTTTTCCTCAAATCCCAAGTACTTCTTTGGCTTCAAAAATTAAAAAAAAAAAAAAAGTTGATTGTGTCTTTTGATTTGCTGAGTAGGCAACAAACCCGGAGGCAGAACCAGGCAGGGAGAAAAATTATAAAACCCAAATTACATGCCTTCTTTTTCAAGGCACTTAGAAGCACATACGTACACCAGCTGCACATGAACTAAAGGACAAAAGACAAAGGAGGGGAAATGCCTGAAGGTGTACCCGGAAATTATTCATTAGTTAGATGTAAAATCTGAAGTGTTAAGGCAACGTGATGAAGGTTAAGACTTGGCTTTATGGGAAAAATACTTGGAAGTGGGTTTTGGTGTTGCTCAGTGGTAGAAGGCTTGCCTAGCATATACAAGACTTGGCTTCAGAGCTGCAAAGAGCACAGAGTTATTCATTCCCTTTACATTCTGTTAACATTCAAAATTCAGGGAAATGTATAAAACCAAGAACATTTTTGTTTAATGGTTATCAGATGCTTTTCTTTTGACTACTAGAAAATTAATTTAGCATAAAAATATTTTCACAACAGCATGTTGAGTGTGTGGGGGTATAGGATAGGAACCTGTTACACAGCGTTGAACATCATCCCTCAGAAGCCACAGGATTCAGCTGAAGGCATCATGCTTTTGAAATGAGTATTTTTAGAGTCTAGTGGACTACGATTCACAGGCAGAGGAGGCTTTGCACAGTATTAAGATGAGCAGAGACAAGCAGAGAAGATGGCAGTTCTGGTACCATAGAAATCTCTCGCATCTCCTGAAGTGTCTGCTTCCTTCACTGAAGCAAATTTCTCAGACTGATAAGACAGTAGTTGATTGGAATGGATTGTCTGAGGAGGCTTTTATTTCTGCAAAAGGAAATAGTGTCCTAGTTTAAAGCAATAAAATAAACTTGAGGCCATGCTAAGAATGATGCTAATGTGAGGTGTTTACTTTTTCACTGTTTGGAAAGTCCCAGGGCTCCCCTCAGGCTTGCTGCTGGGCTAGCCTAAGAGCAATGCTGTGGTCTGACAGGAATCCCAAGGTAATGGTGAACAAGCCTCAAGAACAGATCACTTTCATCTCTTCCTGGCCAAACTGGAAATTTAGGTGATTTTTCTGAGGATCTGAGAGAGACGACTTCACAGTAGGTCAAATTGTGTTTTCCACTCTCAGGACTTCAGTACCAGTATCAATCCTCTGAGCGCTTGTTATGGGCTAATAAAGCAGGCAAGCCTAAACTCAGTGAGTGAGTGAGAACATGGGTAACATGGACCAGTCCTTGGTCTTGGAAGAAGACACCAACAAAGGATGCTCTAGGCAGATGAATTAGCCCAGGTGTGACCACAAAAGTATTGGCTCCCTCCAAACCACAGCTGCAGCTGTGCACTCAGTAAGAGGTGACCTTAGCAAGCCAAAGACATCAGTCATGAAGGTATCATGCTGGATGTTAGAATCATCTAGCAGAAACTCCAACCCTGGAATTCACTCAGAACTGTTGAATCAGTGGCTAAAGCTACAAATGGAATCAGGCTTTCAGATCTCCAGTCCAGTTTGGTGGACAGATACCCATGCAAGAGACAGCAGTTTGAGATAGAGATGGTTGAGATACTAGAGCCCCACAGAAACTATCTATGAAGCAAGGAACTAATGCAACTGGAACCAGAGAAATCTTCAAGAATAAGGGAATTTTATTGGTACTTCTCTTATTATAAAGTGATTCTTATGTTTGTAGTTTTTAATGTCTTTTTGAACTATTCAAATTTTTTAATGTAGCTTTAAGCTTTTCAGAAAAAAGTTTCTCTTTTTGTTCAGATGTAGATATGAAAGATAAATAAAGATGTGTTTTTAGAACAGGAATTTTTAAGGTCCTGTATTGCTATTTCCTCCCCTCCTCTCTCATTACTGGGAGATGAGGGCTTTTCTCTTAAAATAATATCATTTTTTAATAATAAATAGCTCTGTATTAGCAAGCTTTATGTAATAGTGTTTCATTTCAGTGTAATCTTATGGCATAAGTTTTAATATATTTGCTACATTCTTAAATTGAGTGCATTTGCTGTCTTTGGAAAGCTTACAAAGTTATAAATGTTAGAAATAATTTTCTATAAAAATGCCTCATATGGTCTGTTTTCAAAAAGTGGTTATTAATTTAGGGAGATTTATTAGAGGGTTCTAAATTGACACACATTCCCAAGTAGATTAAACTTTATAGGAGAGAGAGCTGTGAAAACAGAGCACAACCATTTGAGAGGCTTCAGGAAGATACTGAGCATTAGAAAACACGTAAGTATTTCTCCCATTATCTTCAGAAGCACCACTTTGCTGAGAATTCACAAAGAGGAAAAAGCACCGAGCAACTTTGAACTTGGTGGTGGATAGAAGGGGTGGCAATTTTGTATAAAGGGAGTATAAAGGAAATATCTGACAGTGATGTTTTCATGTCTCCCCAATAGTAGCTCAAACTTTTGTCAGAAGTGTGTAGCACTTCGGAGCATCGCTTATAAATGTCTGTCCATCAACTTGGACAGGAGAATCAATGAAAGTAGGTACAAGCTCCATCTCCTCTATTGTGGGCTCCTGTAGCACTGACCTATAACTTTAGCCCTCCCTACTGCTGTGCCAGTCCATCAGTGTGCACAGCACCAGCAGATGGCCTTGTGAAAATGCAGTTTTCTGGCCCATGCCCAGAGTTTCTAATTTAGCAGTTCTGAATAGTCCCCAAAATTTGAATTTCTGCCCCATGATTCTAACAAGTTCCCAGGTGACACTGGATGCTGCTAGTCCAGGGAACTCTGTTTGAGAAACATTGCTTTGCATCTCAATATACAGGGATATTCCTTTTATCAAAACATGATGTGATTTGGGTACAGGGGAGTTAGAATGACAGTCACTCCGTCGTGTACATGTGTTTTGCTCACTGTGGAAAACCTATAAAAGGATCTTCTGCCAATCCACATAGGGGTTATGGTGCTACTGCTTATATTTTGATTAAGAGTGAGATTTTATTATACACACTCCACTAAAGAAAATTAAAATGTTGATTCCCAGCCAGCACACATAGCATTTCCATGTATGAAGCTGTTAATGCTTTTATATGTTTGCATGCTGTTAATTTGG